ACACACATGAGAATCGATTAACTTCTTAGTGTAAACCGGTTGCAAACATTATAATCAGTCACTAATTCGCTGATCAAGTATACAGACATTACTAACGTATCTTTCTTGTGCATCGTACTGTCCATGCACAAATAGTAGGTCCATTATTATATATGCTGATCGAACGAAATCGTTTATATTAAATGTTTAGAAACGCGATTTTAAGAACATAATAGTAATTTTTTTATCTAGATTAATTTAAGTAATAATGAAAACTGTTTAACTAAACTATGAAGTATTTTATATAGTAATTTTAATGAATTGATTATCTATCAAGTAATTGGTACTATTTGTGAATATAATCAAAAAGCATTATGAATAAGTACCGCCGCTTCAGTTGGTAAACTGTAAATACACATAAATATATACATATAAATATATCATAAGTGAGCTACATAAATTTAGAATGTCATTTACCTGGCAATTGGTGAGCTCAAATACTGCGTATAGTAGAATATAGATAAGAAGCCAAGCACCATGAGTGCGGCCACGCAGCGCTTCACCGAAAACGGCCGCCCGGCCAGGCGCCGGTTCTTCAGCAACAATGTCATGGTGACGGCTGTGGTCGTCAGCAGTGGCGCCGGCTGTGGTTACCCTTCATGGAAGGTGGTGGCTGTGGCGTCGTCGGTGGTGTTGTCGTGGACGACATACAGTGCGCCCGGCGACTCTTCCGGCATGACGTTCGATTAACCCAAACTAAGAGCATTTCCGAACCGGTGAACGGTCAACTATTAAATATACGGCATCGACTGTCTCGCATTCTGTAAATNCAACTATTAAATATACGGCATCGACTGTCTCGCATTCTGTAAATAAATACCAGGTAAACATATAGTTACACTCGCAAAACTTGATGAAAATAGTTATCAAAAAGACTTATAACGATAACCCTCCTACAACCTATGGACGCTCTACAGAGCTAAACCCAATAATTCTCAAGTTTCAAATAATGTTTACACGACTTTTATGCTTCGCTAACAATGATAATTTAACTCGTAGTACTTAATATTATATTGTGTTGATTTTAAATCTGATTTCCCCTGAAAAATAGTGTACTTAACGGTTAAGCACCAATGAAAAATAAATGTATCTTTGATCTTGAGTGTCAACTATGTTATTAAATATAAACCACAGATTAATGGACCATAAGAGCGTGCCGGCGTCTGGTTATTGCAAATAATTGTAGTTACCGATTACTTTTCACATAGCCATTAGATATTTGTAATTTGTAAGTTAAAAACATCATACATCTTATCGTTATGCACTTATAATATATAGACCAAGTTGTTTTTTTATAAATAGTATTGGTATAGTCGCTTTGATCTGTTATAAATAAAACATTTTCATGATGAGAGATTTAAATGAAACTCTTCAAAATTCTAATCCTGCCTACGCCTGTCCTTGCGTTTGAACCTATAAGCTATTGCTTTGATAGTTCACACGATTTTCAAGAGTAATATCCTATTTTACACATATGGTTTGCATACAAGCTAAGCGTTTGACGGCGACCGCGCAGAGGTCAAGAATCAACCGATGTTGTGATAGTAGAACCGGTATTTTATTAACTACGTATTCTCACCACTTGAATGCGGTTAGACTGAATGTGCTATGTGACAATTTAGGTCAACAATTTTTTATATATCCAATAATAGTTGTATATAAAATATAAAATATAACATAAATTATTTAAATTCCTAAATAACATTAAAGAACTACAAAAAGTGTAAAATTTAAGAGTAGACTGCAATACATTCAGCGTAAAAATATATGTCAATTTGTCAAACATAGATTTACTTAATTTAAATATAACCTATGGAAAAGTAATTACAACAAAAAAAATTTTTTTACGAATTTTTAAGATTTGCGCATGTTTTTCAATTAACAGCAATTATGTCAGTTTTCAATTATCCATTAATATAAAGAAAAACATTTATAAAATCTCCATAAAATTACCTATTCAATGGTTATAAATTCACATCAGGAAGTTAAACCAAAAAAAAGTTTAAATGAAAAAATCAGCTTAATTTTTTAATAAATAAATTCTATAATCAAGTTTAAAAGCCTAAAAAACAGATTAAACTATTCGCAGCAGTCTAAAATTAGCACGATTCTTTTATAATATGATTAAAACAAATTTGGAGTTTAAAGAAACAACATTTTTTTTATTTTGTACGAATTTTTAAGTGTATAATTATCGCTCAATTACTAATTAGTAACTATCTTATTAACTAGATGCGATATAGCAAATCTGAAATTGGACATGGAATCAGCAGCAAAAATTCCTTATAGGATTAGTCTACATATTGTAAATTGCAGAATATTTCCCCGAGTGTTATTTATATTTCATTAAAAGCAAAAATAGCATTCTAAAAAGGAATATAAGCTAAAAAGCAATGGTGATACTTAATTAAGAACGGTTGAAGCTGGCAAAATCAACGTACTGTGAATACATGAGAGTTATATAAAGAAGAGACGTAGAAATGGTAATAAGAATACCCCTTAAGTAATGAAGTGCACGTAGTATAAAAAGATATTCAATTTAAAGAATTTTTGGGTGGAGTAAATAGCGTCAAAATCATTCATATGATATCAAATTTTGTATTCTAAAATAAAAATGATATGTTAAGTTAAATATACATTTTTGTGTATGCAACGTATTGTAATAAAATAACTAATTTTTATTAAAATCCCGAAAATAATTTTTATTTTAAAGGAAAATATAAATATAATAATGAAAAAAAAGTGTTAATATAATTTCAATTTCGTGTTAAATTCAAAATCATATCAGTTTATTTATAGTTGCCATCTTCTTCTATAGTTTTTTTTATCAGACTTGGATAGTTATGTTGACAGGAGTGTTATTATTGTACTTTTAAATTTACTGAGATAAAATAAATAAATCAATAAATAAACCAAATGAATAAATAAGTGTTTATTCATTGTGATATCTACAAAAATAATCTTCATTCATGCCATAAAATTCAATAATTGGGTTTACATAATGATGTTAACATTTCATTTTAAATAGCGGTTCATAATGATTGATACAAATAAAGTTAAATTTATTTTTATTAAATTTACGGTTGTTTATACCTTGCAAATGCTTGTCAAATACTTCTGCTATAAACCTTACAACTAAAATAAATGACATGTATGCGGTATTTCTTTTTTAAATTCAATGAAAAACAAATAATAAGTAACCTTATAATTGCTACCAGAATACGAGTAGCAATTTTGTTTATACAAACAATTATGTGCTCTTTACGAAAAATTTTCTAATGCCGTACTACATTGATCTGATCTTTACATAACTACAATGTACAATGTAAACCTTTGTGCTAGTACCTTTAGGAATATTATGAAATTGCTGTAATAGTAACACGTAGAAGAAATTATGCGCACAAGAATTATGAATGAGTCGTTATGGTTAGAAATAGGTTATCGTTATGATTTCATCAGATCATTTGTTGCAGATTCCCTCGAGTCGACATTATCCTTATGAAGAAGCCCCCAACTTGTTATTTGTTATCATAAATTATTATTTGCCTCCCACTTCAACGTTCCGTTCGAGAGATTAAAATGTACACAAATGTGCTTATCACTTACAAATTGTAGAGCATCCGCACACTTTAATTAACGAAGTTTTCACGGGCACGTGGGTCTTATCCATACATGATGCATATATATATATATGTATGCATCGATTGCTTACGGCGATCTCATAGCTAAGCGTTTTTTTTAAAAATAACTTCAACACGTCAATTAAAAATAAATATAAGAACAGTGGTAAATATAAATAAACGTGATTGTTGAGCCGAGTAAAATGTTAACATTTCATGTTATGAGTACTTAAGTGGAAAATATGCTTTAATTAATAAGCGAATTTCTCCAATAAAAATTCCACTAATTTAAATAGTATAATCAATAAATTATTGCTGTGTATGAATACACAAGAATAATTTTCCGACCGGAACACTGAAAAAAATCAATTTTTTATAATTATTGAATATATTATATACTAAGATATTCAATAAACGAAGTAGTAGGTTTGTTATAAAAATCGACTAATAATTCAACCATGTATATTTCAAAAAAAAAATCTAACTGTGTAGTGTAGCAAATTAAAAAAAAAAAAAAAACCGACACAGATACTATTCAACTGAATACAAAACAATAAAAAAAAAATCAAATTAAACGATCGGTTCGTTTTGTACGACTGGTGTCTACCACTTAATATTGGATTATGTGTAAAAACAATCTTGGCGCAGTCAGTATGTGACAGCATTCAGAACAGGTAAGAGTGACATCACTATGATAATAAACTCGCTATTTTAATATCGTACAACGAACGAAAATATTTTGCAAATCGACATTATCTTAACATTAACGCGCAATAGATAATATTTGACACGTCAACATTTTTATATCGTTGAATTCTAACTGATACAAAATCATTGACATGTACTTTCGAAATAATTAACCACTAATTACAAATTAGAATAAACTAATACAGTACCATNTTTGCAAATCGACATTATCTTAACATTAACGCGCAATAGATAATATTTGACACGTCAACATTTTTATATCGTTGAATTCTAACAGATACAAAATCATTGACATGTACTTTCGAAATAATTAACCACTAATTACAAATTAGAATAAACTAATACAGTACCATGCATGTACTAATGCACAATTTTCTCATTAAGATTACTATATGAATTATATTAGAGCATCATTCAACGACGCGTTCTCAGCTTTCACACTGATGAGGCAATATCCGCGGTGGATTATTACAATTACAGAGGTCTGAACCCAAGACTGGTGTTGTCACGCGCCGTGTTATTAATCGAATACCGCTCCGAGTGCACGGCGAGAAGAAGAGGAGGAACACAGTGATACGTATCAAGGTATTCTCTCAAGAAACCATTTGCGACGGATCTGTTGATTATAGCCAAAGTGATTGGAGGGCGGTAGCGGTACACTTTGATGTTAGGTATGCTCAGCCGCTACATGGCCCGATTTATTATTTGTTATACTCTATTCATAATCTCGCCCACATCCCTAATAGATGTAACTTCCGGTCGTAAAACCTCCGTTGAAAATTTTTTGTACACAGAATTTTAATATTAGTAAAAAGAATACGCATTTTATTTTTTTGAAACCATAGCAAGAGTTTGGAAACCTAAAATATAATTTCGAGAATGTATTTACAAATACTAGCACGACTGATATTAATTGAAAACTTAATTATTCGTAATATTTTAATAAAAAATATATATACTAAAAATAGTTTCCAAATCATAAAAAAAAATATATATATTATTTTCTTTTAAGATGAAGTTCGAATATTTTTCAAACAGTTTATCAGACAATAGTCGTCGGAAATTTAAAATTGGAGAAAACGGAGTTTAAAAACTCAACATTTTTATTATTGTGCCAAAATGAATAAAAAATTAATTACACATAACAAAAAAATACAACTTATTATTTATAATTACTTCCGATTGTTTTATAAAATTAAGTAGACAATAAATTACTATAAAACTGTCCAATTTATAATGCCTCTTGTAAAATTTATTTTATTTTTTTTTAGATTTTATCTAATTATATTACTGTATCAATAATCCATTTGAATAGTTAAGGAATAGGTAAACAGTCGATTTTTTGTTTTAATTATCTTAATGAAATTAACACTGAACATTAAAGAATCAAAATTAACTAACTTACAACAGCTCATCGATAGATTTCTAGAACGGTATGAGGTACGTTTAAAACTAAACACTTGACAGAAATAACGAATCAAATTATTATAATTTTTTATTTATAAATGTTGTCTTTTCAATACAGTTTCGTCAATTTAAAGAGCCGGCAGTTATTAGATCAATATCAATTTTATTTAAGGCACGCGCCAAAAATCTTGCAATATAAAATTAATATTCAACTCACAATGCTATCTTGATGATCATTCTACACTAAAAATAATGTTTGACAGAATACATTCAATATCTAGTTAATACCAAATGATTAAATCGTAAATGACATAAACCAAGCCGATATGTAATAATTCTGTCTGGATAATGAAACCATAGTAATACAAATAAATAACTTATAAGGTTTTAAACGTAAAATAATTGCAACAAATTACCCTCTAAACTTTTTTCGATTACAATACAGAAAATAATTGACAAGCATCTTAATAGTATTGTTATGACTTTTTTCTTGTAAAACACCAAAACATGAAGAAATAGCCAGAAAAATCTTAAAATTAATGGTAGTTATTTCTTAGCTTATAAAAATTTATATAATTATTTGATACTCTTCTCTTAATTTTAATAATTTTTATACGTGTGAAAATACAAACATTTACTAATAAAACTAAAATTACCAATTAATTAATATAATATTATTACAATATACAATATGTTGTAAGCATACAATTGTCATGCAGCAATATATTTGTACTAAAATACAAACATTTTTCTAAAATGAAATTTAAACGCTGTACAGAGTATTAATTATAAAGTACTCCATTTATAAAAAAAGTCACACGGAATTTATTTTTATGGAAATACTATTGAGTTACAAAGGTGTAAATAATTTCAACAAATCTTTATCGTCGTTATACTACGACTACTTTTATAGTTTTTCCTAAAATTAAACTCTCGCGTGACGCGTTCACAACCACCCAAGAAGATACCACCTAACAAAATCATAGTTTTCAATAATAAATGGGAAACATCTTTTGGCGTTAAGCGCATACAATAGTCCAAAAAATAATGAATAATGATATCATTAAATTATTAGAAGTATATAATTGATGTTGCTACTTTAATATATGAACAATGAAGTTTATTATGGATAATATTAACGCTACTAGTTTAATAATTGTTATAATAGCGTGTATTTATCTGTTCTTAAAAATTTTAATATATACTTGTAATATTTTCTTAACATCAAAATAATAATTATTAAATTTACTATTATTTAAACTTTACTTTTAATGATACATTTATAAACGAAATAAGTCAAATAACACACAAACTAAAAAAATTAATGAAATAATTTTTTGTTAAATTTTTTCTTAGGATAACTCGTTATCACTTTTTTTGTTATTTATTAATAATAGGAAAATAAATATTTTTAATTTTTTTTTTTAATTTAAACAATCAATTTTCAGATTTCTCAAACAAAAAATTTGATGGGTCATTACGATAACAACTTTAGGATAAATTCTTATTGAGTTACAAGCATTTTAATACATAGAATGGCTATGTAGCGTAGATGAGTACAGCTAGTACTGGTACTAATAGATATTCCACACAAGCACTTACTTATCCACTCTATGTATTAAATACCTCTAACTTAACAATCATAAAATTATTATCAAATCATTAAAAAATGATGTAAGAAAACTACAAAAAACTAGCCATTTTAAATTTAATTAAAAAAAAGTTTTATTATAAACATTAAATAAAATATATGATTTAACGTAGTCTAAGAGTTCATAAATATATATATTTTTAATTACAGTAAAATGTTATTTGTAACAATATTTTTTTCTTTTATAGTTTGTAAAAGACGCATAATTTTTTTATAATTTTAAATTAAAAATTTAGGAATGATAACTTATTTCATTCTCGTAAGTTAAAATTATTTCGAAATAATTAAATTGCAAAATAATAATATTGACACTTAGTCTCTGTTTTAAGTTTATTTTTCCTCGAAAAAGGTAGGCGATATAAATTGTGTACGCATTTTTTAAATGTTTTCACCTTACTCTAAATAAATAAAATTTTTTTCAAATATTTATTATTGAATGCGAGGGTTTAAAAAGGGTTGAAACACCTTCATATTTTTTAATGTGGTACAGTACAGATATCGTTATATTAATCCTGAATCCCATTCTAATAAAATATACCTAAACCAATTTCATATCATGAAAATAATGCCTAAAATTTATTTATTTATTCATAAAATAAAATTGGTTTTTACTAAACTCATTACTAATGAATCACTTCACTAAAAGAATTGAAAAATATTCTTAGTAATGTTGAATTAAATTCAGTATTTTATTTTATAACTACTCGTTAGGAAAATAACGTAATTACAATGGTTAATTGTTTATATATTAAATGAGTAATTGTCATACAGTAAATTTCAAGATAACGACATATTTTACTTCTTTAAGGAATAAAAAAAGTATTTTATTCCAGCGTCAATATCATCAATCATTTCTCAAACATCACATTAAAACGTCAATGGTGCAATTGGAACTTTTTACCATTAAAATGATATTTACTCAGTATTACTCATTCTATTATACTAAAGTAAAACCTATAAGATCACCTATCGCTTTTGCACCTTACATGATATTATGTGTGACCGTGCAATATTTTCCATCACGAACAATCGCCGGTAGGCACATTTTTCTTTGGAATACAACCAATAAAGTAATGTAAGTCTTGAACTTAAATTCCCAGAGGTTCCAATAAACACCGGACGTTTTGTTTTCACAGGAATAATAAAGCTGGCATTATTTCAGAAAGTTGTAAAGTGGACATCGAAGTTCACACAGGTCTCGACACCACCATAGGGTAGAATTCGAACTACAATTAGCTATTATCTCGGCATATTCCGATATTTCATGAAAATAAAAGCAACCTGAGTTAGTAATATTACACTTCCGGGGTTTTAAGATTTATGTACCTTCATCTTAAAATAAGTCAAACAATAAATTCTTGGAACGATAAATATGATAAAAGACATTATGATAGTTTTTTGAAACTTTATTTTTAAGACTTTCCATGATCACAATTATTCAAATTTATATAACTTAAATTATTATGAAAATACATTGAATATTTGTTTTACGCACGATGAAATATCGATCCAAGATAAATGATAAGCTGAGAAAAAAAGTGTTAGCGCCATTATTAACTCTGTCAAATAACTTCAAACGTAGAACTTTCTAGATAATTTGAACACAAGACGCATTCGTAGTATTTGTAGACAAATAACCTTAGATAGTAACTAATTACCTTTAAACTAGTTTTAACGTTAAGAACAAAAAAACTAAGCCCGCAGAAAGATAGTGTATATACAACTAACAGAGGTGAACAAATAATTCTTACCGTCATTGTTATTGGTACCCTATCGTAGATGAGGGTCATTTAATTACTGACTTTTTAAAATCGATATTACATTAAGATATTATCTAATAATTTTCCCCCATAACACGACTCTACTCGATGATCAACCATTAAAAAAAAAAATATTTGAATAGCGCAAACTTTTCGCCAACATATAAGTAAAGAGTACAGTGAATTTAACAACAACTTATTAAGAAAATCATACATTTTTATCATTTTAAGAGTTCATAAATTTTTTATTTACTCAAGGAAAGGTATGACATTTTTTTCTACGTCAAAAAAACAATGTTAAACGAATAAAACAATTTTTCTTTCAAATGCATGTGTTTTTGGTTGTTTATCTATTAGTTTAAATCTTGTTAGTATTGACTGCGTCAGTTAGAGACTTGCACAATAAGTTACCTAAGAAAAAAGGCGAAGAAAGTTTTACAGTAAAATGTTTTAAAATTAACAATTAGGAATAAAATATTTTTATTTCCTGTTGCTTTGTTTGCATTTCACTACGCAAATGTTTACGTTTAACTACACAGCACTTGCCGTACATCTTTCTAGTTGCTTACCACGAGAGCACATTACTGCTAGTAGAGATAACAATTTATTGTTAGCAGAGTTAAACATTCAAATACGCCATAATAATAGCAATTGCATTTAACGATTGTATATACATTTCTAATTTCAATATTTAACAAACATTCCAACATTATTTTAAATTTGAAACAGATAATCTAATTACTAAGTATATAAATTATTATTCGACAAGGGTTTTTGATTAAAGATTAAAGGCCAACGTAAAATGTACATGCCAAAATATTTAATGCCGTCATTTATACTTATGATAACAAAC